TTTTGGGCGGAACAGACGAAGGAAACGACCCGACAAGCTGCTGTTTTCTTTGGGCAGCAGGACGTGAAGAAACAGCACAGCAAGGCTGTTGCCTGTTGTGTGCTGTTTGCTGTTTGGCTCCGGCAGAAAGCACGCAGGTAGCTCCCCTTCCTTGCTGTTGCTGTTGTTGAACGAGGTAAAACGCAGGCAGCAGCTTCGCCTCCTGTTGCTGCTGTTGCTGGTAGAGGAGAACGCAGGCAGCAGCTTCGCCTCCTGCTGCTGCTGTTGCTGGTCGAGGAGAACGTAGGCAGCAGCTTCGCCTCCTGCTGCTGCTGTTGCTGGTCGAGGAGAACGCAGGCAGCAGCTTGCTGCTTGCTGTTGCTGCTCGAGGCCTGCGGTGCTATGGAAACGAGGAAGCAGGTAGACCGGTCGGCTGTGAAGCGGGGAAGGCTCAGGCTGTACCTAAAGATGCTGGTCGTAGCTCCGGCGACGGTGGTTTGTCCACATTTCCTCCGAACAGCCCGGTCTAAGAGTGGTTGAGGGGTTAGCTTCTTCTGTTCCAGCAAGGGAGATGTGCCAAGTCCTCCCCTTTTCCTTCTTTTCTTTCCTCCCCGATCCTACTGCCCCCCCTCTTTCTTATTGAGATCCCAAATCTCATCCATGGAGGTCAAGGTCCTCCATGGAAAAGGGAAGACCTCTAGGAAGAGAAAAAGTGAGACACTAGAGTAGGATAGCATTGCAGGTACTCCACCCCTAATATTCTACTAAATTATCCTTCCAAGATTTTCAAAAGGATTCCCCTGACACCAACAACTTAATATAAAAATATACCTATATATATATATATATATATATATATATATATATATATAAGGGCTAAATGCATGAAATAGCAACCTACTTTCATAAATTTTCTTATTATAACATTCTACTTTTGTTTTTTCTTTATTACATCAATGTACTTTCAAATTATTTTTTATTAAGGCATTGTACTTTAAAAAATCCACCCATAATAGCAATGGGTAACCTGTTACCTTTTAAACCGGTTAACCCTTTGACTTTTTTGCTTGTGTGGCTTTAATGAGGTGATGTAGATGTCACATCATTTTGATGACTTAACTAAAAT